AATTGCATTGGCCTTTTTAGCTGCTGCATCGCACTGTTGACTCATGATAGGAAGAGTAGCTTCCTATCAAAAACAAAATTTAAGCAGCCTTGCTGGTCTACTAGAGCAGTTCAAAGAGCAGCAGCCTGTACCATTATCAGATGTATACTTGTTTGTATAGAAATAATTTCCACTGAATTCAGTAAGATTGATTTCTGGTTATTGTGCTATAGAAGTCATAAAACAGTTAACAGCCTTTCAGGTTTGCCAGAACTTCTCAACTTTAATAAAGAAAGGGTAGGAAAGAGTGATTTTAATTATATTTAGCAAGATTTTGCCTTTGCTTTGCTTTCCTCTGAGGCTAAGACTTCAGAAGGCAGCAAAGGCAAACCCTCTCTGAATAAATGGTGCCAAGAAAATCCCATTATAGTGTCACCTTATGGTTGCCGTAATTTGGAAATGAAGGCAAACAAGAACAAAAAGCAAGTTTTCCCCCTCTGGGTCCCAAACATCCCTCATCTTTCTACTAAGCATGGAAAGGGTTTAAGCTGAACCACTTTTAGTCATTGCAGCAAGACAGCTGTGTTTCTTACAGCAAAAAACAAGGGTGTCAAATGACTTAGGTTTCTTGCAAGGCAGGATGGACAGAGCTCCTGTCCCTATAATAGTTGATTATATGAAGGAATTTCAGCAGGTGTTGCTTGTCATGCAGCACCAGCTGGGACTCCTGGTTCTACAAACCACTAAAAGCACAGGAGTACCCCTTATTTCACCTGGCAAACCTAATTTATTGTGGCATGCATTGTCTCACGGTGATAAAGTCCCCGTCATCATCTGGTGCAAGGAACATCATCAAGTGGTGAGTAAATATGGGTTCAGAAGAAAACAAACTGGTATCAGTGAGGAAACAACAAAAGAAACAATTTTTGTTGCGTTTCATCACCATTTACCCCATTATAATCCACCCAATACACTCTGGGCCTCTGGGGGACATCTAGTTCAGCCAGCCAGAACTAGACTGGCAACTGTCACCCAGAGACCCTTTTTCTTCAGCTGTCCCTAGACTGTGGGATGATCTGCCAAAAGAGATTAAACAGAGATTAAATATGCTGTTGGAATTTAAAAGAGTATTAAAGACTCTTGCAGTCAATTTTAAACTATTAATTTTAAATGAGAATGTTTTAATTTATGATGAATGATGTTAAGCGTATCTTGAATTTATGTGTTTTAACAATGTTTTAACAGTGCTCTTACTTTGTTCAAAAGATTCTGTGTGTTTTAATTTTAGCTGTAACCTGCCTTGAGCCTCAGGGAGAGATGGGTAAGAAATTAAAAAATCTTTCTCCTACACCCAGCGAGGATATACCGTACCCACTTATTAATGTAGCTGTTGAATTGGGCTGTAGTCCAGGAAATCTTATTATATCATAATAAATCCAGTCTCAAAGTACTGTGTGACTTTCTTAGGGTTGCTGGAGGGGAAACCAGAGAGGGCTCCTGTCCCTTTAATAGTTCTGTTGTTAGCTGCCTTGGAGTGGACACCAACTCATGGCAACCCTGTGGATGAGGCATCTCCAAACCCTCCTATTCTCCACTTCACTTAGGTCCTATAGTTTCATGCCCATGGCCTCCCTGATTGAGTCTCTATCCATCTGGCATGTGGTCCTCCTTTCTTTCTGAGCATTATTGTCTTTTTCTAGTGAGTCTTTATTTCTCATGATGTGGCTAAAGTATGACAGTCTCAGTTTGGTTATCTTGGCTTCCAGAGAGATTTCTGGCTTTAGCTGTTCTGAGACCCAATTGTTTGTCTTTATGGCTGTCCATGGGATCCTCAGCACTCTTCTCCAGCACCATCTCAAATGAGTTGATTTTCTTCCTATCCGCTTTCTTTCCTGTCAGCTCTCACATCGGCACATGATGATGGGGAATACAATGGCTTGGACAATTATGACTTTATTGCTCAGTTGTATATCTTTACTCTTTAGGTTTAGGATCTTGTCTAATTCCTTCCTCCCTGCCCTCGCCATTACTTGTCTTCTTCTGATTTTTTGACTGCATTCTCCATTCTGATCAATGCTTGATCCAAGGTAGGGGAAATCTTTATTTCAGTTTCCTCATTATCTTGGTAGAATCTATGTAGGCCCTCCATGGTAATTATTTTTGTTTCTTTTTTTTATGTTCAGCAGCAATCCCGTCTTTGTATTTTCTTCCTTGACCTTCCTTAGTAGAGAATTTCAGCAGTTGCTACAAGCAACACTTACTGACATTCCTGAGAGCTAGTGTGGTGTAATGGTTTGAACACTGGACTCTGGAGACCAGGGTTCAAGTCCCTGCTCTGCCATGAAAACTCACTGGGTGATCTTTGTCAAGTCACACTCTCTCAGCTTCAGAGGAAGGAATGGGAAAGCTCCTCTGGACAATTTAAAGACGTAGCCATGTTAGTCTGTAGAATCAGTATGGAGATAGATCTTGTAGCACCTTTAAGACTAACTGAAATAAAGAAGTTGGCAGCATGAGCTTTCATAGACTTCAGTCTACTTCCTCAGATGCATCTCCTCTGGAGTGTGTGTGTGTGTGTGTGTGTTGTGTGCCTTCTAGTCATAATACAATAAAATGGGAGCCAGTGTAACACAGTGGTTTAAATGATGGACTATGACTCTGGAGACCAGGGCTCAGTTGCAAGCTCAGACATAAAACTCACTGGGTGACCTTGGACGAGTTACATGCTCTCAGCCTCAGGGGAAGGCAATGGCAAACCTCCTCTGAACAAATCTTGCCAAGAAAACCCTATGATAGGTTCTCCTTAGGGTTACCATCAGTTAGAAATTACTTGAAGGCACCCAACACCATACATTGCCATCCCTGTGTCTACACAACTGTTAAACATACAGAAACTCTCTCTGGTTTCCATTCTGGCAACCACAGTGAGTTGTTTTGCTGGCCATTTCCCACCAGCTGTGTGGCTGAGGGCCATAATTTGCCTTGGGCCCACTGGGTGACCTTGGGCAAGTCACACTCTCTCAGCCTCAGAGGAAGGGAAAGGCAACCCCCCCTTGGACAAAGCATGCCAAGAAAACCCCATGACAAGGTCACCATAAGTCAGAAATGACTTGAAGGACCACAACACACACACACACACACATCCTGCTGTGTATGGCCATGAAACCCACTGGGTGTGCTTAGGCAAGTCACACTCTCTCAGCCTCAGAGGAAGGAAAGTCACACTCTCTCAGCTTCCGAGGAGGGCAAGTCACACTCTCTGAGCCTCAGAGGAGGGCCACGGTAAACAAACCAAGAAAAACCCAATAATAGATCCGCCTCAGGGTCGCCATAAGTCTGAAATGACTTGAGGGCACTCAGGAACAACAACGACAAGTATCTCCTCATAATAACGGAACGCGGCAAATCCCGCGAATAACTCTCCACAGCTTCCGTTGATTGACAGCTCCTAGCGCCTTCCTTCCCGCCCTACGAGGGGGCTCCAGCCAATGGGAAGCGCCAACGACGGGCTCCAGCCAATGGGCATCGAGTACAGTGCCAGGGTTCGTCTCGAGGACACCCTCACCGTTGCGAGACGCTTGACCCGGAAGTGACCCTTGCGCACGCGCGGAAGGGAAGGAAGTGAAGGCGGTTTGAGGAGGAGATGCCCGCCGAGCGGGAGCTTCGGATCAACGAGGCGTTTGCGGCGCGTTACGGGAAGTACCGCCGTCGGGAGGAGCTCCAGCGCCGTGAGTAGCGGAGGGGAAGGGAAGGGAGGGCAGCACCAAGGCCGCCATTTTGGGGGGGCTCCAATAACGG